GAAACAGTTCAGAAGTTGGTTTTTTCTTTTTCTTTCAGTAACACATTTAATTTCTCGGTAAAATCGGTACATTTTTACAAGGCAACTTATCATACAATACTTAATGAAATAAAATCCAGATAGATAAAGTTTCTCTAGGAATTTTCAACTGATCTAAAGAGCTCTCGGATTTATTGTAGATTCTTTGAACAACTTCCTCGTTTTTCTCATACGGCACAGGATAATACTGAACAATTCGAAAAAAATCGCTCGAGCAGCAAGAAGGAAGCTTGAATCTCGAACGTGTTCCTTGGTTTTCCTTTTCTCGTTCAATTAAAAAATAGATTTTTTTCTCTCTCTCTGTCTTCGCATGTTCCAATGATCCGCGTGTTTTTTCCCGAAAATTTGGAAGTGAACACGCGCAATGGAGAATATATACTTCATAAAACAACGAATTCGACTCGCGAACGGATTTTTCGTAAAAAATAGTAGCGTTCGACGTTTTCTTTTACACACTACTATGATTTAAGAGCGTTCGGTTTTACACGAAAGAAATTCTCAACGAACGGAAATATCGATTCAGCAATGTTCACTCGATACCTTTGATAATTTGATATGATCGCGCTGGTTCGTCATTTAGTTCGTAAACACAACGAACGCGGGTTAAAATTTTTCTTTCTTTCATTTGTCGACATGTATCAGAAACAAAGAAACAGATCGTTTGGCGAAGTATTATCTGGCCGATAAACCGTGAAGATTTCGATGAACCAGTGAAATGTAATAATGCTAGATCCCGTCTTTCCTACGCTCGTTTGAAAAGAATTCATACATTCGTTTTAGTTCAGTTTTCTTTTTTTTTTTTTTTCTTTTTTACTTTACAGACCTATCCGAAATATACAACAAACATAACAGGGAACGTTTAAACATGTACAATATAGAATTATTCGCAAGGTAACAGCGGCTACTATACAAAAAAAAGGAAAGAAATATTCGCGTAAACGAAATGACCTCGATCTTCGTGCTACGTGAATCGACATTGAAGAACTTCGTGTCCACTCGAAATCGATCGATCAATCATCCTCGTTCTTTTTCATAATTTTTCCTCTTTTTTTTTTTTCTTTTTCATTTGTTTTGCTCGTTTACTCATCATTCGTTCGCGACACGACCAATCGTGATACGATAAAACGAGAAAGTGCCTTTCGTTCCGAGCTGTCGGCTCGTGAGAATCGACGGTCGTCCCATTTTTCTTTGTTTCTTTTTTTCGTTTCTTTTTCTTTTTCTTTTTTTTTTT